AGAGAGAGAGAGAGAGAGAGAGAGAGAGGCGTGTAAGAGATGGAGAACATGACGAGGACGGACGACGGCGGCGAGCGAGCGACTTGGACTGCAATGAATCGAAGAAGGACGACGAGATTGGGTTATGTTGGAGGCGCCGTGATTCAACCGAACGCGCAGGTGTGCCACAGACTGGCCGGCGCCTCTCTGGAATGCAGGCCTTCCCCCTTTCGCCCCTGTTCCCCGTCGGTCAGGCAGTCGGGCTTGGTCCCTCCGTGCTGTTCCTCCGGTATCCCCCCACCCCGGCTCCTCTCCACGTACAGAACCCCCAACGGGCCCCCTTCATGGTACCGCGACCCATCCACCACCACCACCATCACCACCACCATCGCCAATTACAGCACGCAAGCGCAAGTGCGAGCGCATGGGCGGGCGAGCGTGCTTAACATTTGGTATGTGTGTATGTGTACGTGTGAAATGTATGTATGCGCCTCGACGACGCTACGTCACGTCCTCTCACGGCAATCAGTGCAGCTGGCCACCAACGCGTTCCCACGGGGCCAAACCGACCAGGCCGGCTAGCTTCGGTCACCTTTGCGCGAACGCGCCTCTTACCTGTCCCTCACTTTTTCTCTTTTTCTTGATCTTTCTCCCGTTGCTCCTCTCGTGCGTCCGTTTCTCTTCCTTCGAGCCGTTCGCCTTCTCCTTTTTCTTTTCTTTTTCTGCGTTCTCTCGTCCCGCCCGCCCCCTCCCTTTGTATTTTCTTTACTCCATGAAGATTACCCTATGCCCACGAGCGATATTTTTAATACCTTCGGAAATCGATACGGTGTACTTGGAAGTAGCGCGTGAAGCAGGAAGTCTCAAAAAATTTGGAAATTTGGAAATTTATTAAAGTAAAACCAACCGTGAAAACAGAAATTGCCTTATAAATAGAGCTACCATAAAATATTCGCTGTGAATTGGTAACTAGAGGTTGTCTAACTACTTCACGATATAAAATTTGTTGCGTGTTGATGCGAAAATTAAATTTCGCATTTAGAATAATTATAGCGATTGGAAAGTACGGATTTCAAAGAAAAAAAAAAAGAAGAAAAAACCTTGGAAACAGAAAAACTTTTGTAGTTGACGCTGTTACATCAGATAGAAAGCGGTGTCAAATAACTCTCATGGGTGGCTGGTGTGTTTCTGGATTTTTTTTTACGCAACTCGCCTAGTTTTAAAACAAGTATAAAAGCCTCCGTAACTCGTTGTCGAGAATTATGGTGACAGGGGTTACGTAGGGGAGGCCTCCGTAATCAGTGAAGATGTAATCATAATTTAATCTTTACGATCGACAAGTTTTGGTATAAAACAATGGTCGCTTTCATGGCTTCAAAGCTTTTCCTAAAAGCTACATATAAATAATATACAGAGTTATATTTCTTCTCACGTTTCTAATTCTTTTTCATTTTGATTAAAACCAAACGAGAAAAAATTAAGCAAGTAAGGTCATATTCGGAGCAGGTGTCTTATTTCTACGGTATTCCAAAACGACTTTACCCATACGTATTGTAGAACATGCCTCCATTATCCATCTGCAGTTGCCGGTTTAACGGTGCCTGTTGAAAACCCCATTCGGCTAGTACCACACACAGTGCTTTGCACAGGACAAAGTAGCCGAGTTTCCATGACAATACTCTCGTCTTCCCCACATTCGAGGGCACCTGAAAAATACCAGATGGATCTCGTATTTATAACGAAGATGGTGGAACAGGATGGTTTAGAGGCCTCGGAGAACTCAAAATTCGCCGGGATTACTCGATATAGCTTTATCCCGTCAAATATGCAAGAAATTTTTTTCTATTTTGCAATGATCTCTTTCACGATTTCTTTTTCGAGCTTCATTGGAATAAATTCGTAATAAATATGTAAAAGGACGTATTTTAAAAATCAGGTAATATGTAATAGTTTTTCATGACAATTTTAATAAACATTTTTTTATGATGATGACATCTATATGAGTAAAATATGAAGGAATTTTATAAAAGATAATATCATCATAAATATAATTATACTTAAAATTGTTAATTTTTTTTGGTTACATGGCACAATTGAGAATATAATTCCTTAAGAATGATTAAAGCTTGTTTTGTATATATACACAATAACGTAATACAATAATAATAATTTGACATTTTCCATTTTGTTCAGCATTTTCTCACGTGTAGGCACGACATGGAATGTTCTCTAAAATTCCCAAATGTTTGAAAGTTATAAAATAAACAGGTAACACTGATATTATTTCAAGTGAGCGTTTTAATTCGCATAACGACGAAAATGATGAAAGCAAACGACAAGATGCACCTCAAGAACTGTATAAAAAAAAAATGCTTCTCATTCTATTAATTCGTCGTCTGTGTGTGTGTGTGTGTGTGTGTGTATATTGCCACTCGTTGCAGTATTAAAATATCAGAGAATTCTGGGTATTTTTAAAAACGGATGACGAGGTAATATTTTTGCAGCGCGAACGGTTTGAACAGCTGCGCAAATAGTGAATCCACGCGCTTCCTCGGCCCGTGATTTCTGTCTCCGGCTCACGTTTCGCTTTGCAATTTTATTGCCGATCTTATCGAGAAAGCAAACATTCAAATACTGTCATGATAATTTCAAATTGATCGCTTGCCAAATTGATATGCATTTTATATTAACACGTGGAATGACAAATATTCGCACACATAATTTACAAAAAATAATAGAATCGACAGCATTATCATTCTATTAACAATCTATTAAAATTTTAATTTTTAATTATATAATATATATAAAAACACATATTTAGAACATATTTTTTTTATTTACATAATACTTTCAAGTACTTTCTAAATGCAAATGATATTTCGAGTATGAACTGACTTTGGAAAATATTTTTTTGTAGATTAGAACGAAGTACAGAAGATAATGATAAATATAACAATTCAGTTGGAGAGATCATTCTTATAAACTCGTGATAATTTTTTTCAGAGGGTTACTAGCTTTCTATGTCTCGTATGTATAGGTATTTGGTGTTACAAATGTATTACCGATTCGAATATAACACAATAGGAGATCGACATAATGACCATGTATAATGGCCATGTCTCGAACAAATCGCAATCGAGAGGCAGCAGTGTACACGCGTCATATCAGTTACAAATGACTTGTGTTGCTGCATTTATATGACTGCATTGTCTTATTCACTCTGGATATGAATGCACTCACAAATACTGATACTTTACGAATATATCACGCATACCGAGAGTCATAGTAATAAGAGTGTACTGAATCAGTAATGAATGTTCACAAATTAGATAGTGCTACTGCTACTGAAATAATCGTTATTTTAATTATCGTAATTTCGAAATAAAGATTTGAGGTAAGACAAAAATGAATTGGGAGAAACAAGGATAGGTAAGAGTGGAGTATCTCGAATTTAATAAAATAAAAATGTGTGCATATTTATTGTTTTTAGTTCTCTCTTAGTTCTCTATTTTTTTTTCCTTCCATCTGACAACTTTGATTTTTAGATTTCTACTTCAGTCTTTTCATTCTGTCAAATCTCAGTGAAGAGAGTTCGTATCTTCCTTCGAGGCATTACCTTATTGAGATCTGATGGCAATCAGCATCATAATATTCCACTCGCAAATAGAAATTAGGATGACGAATAGAGAAGATAATGGGAAAGAGATAATGAGAAGAAAAAAGCAAGATGAGGGTTAAAACAAGGAAAAGAGTGCGCCAGACGTGCGCCAAGCGTGAGCGTATAGTTATAGCCTCTCCCTCTTTCTCTCTCACTCACTCTCTGCCAGTCCCTCTGTCCTCCGTGCCTCTTCCTGATACGATGTTAGTCTTGTAGGCAGCCGGGGATCGAGGAGAGTCGCCCCAAGCTAACACGTGCAAGGCGCACGTG